AAATACAAAAGAAAAAAAAAAAAAAAAAAGAAGGGGGCCGGGGAGATGGCTCCGTGGAATAAGCGCTGCCCTGGCAAGCTCAAGGGCCTGAGTTCAATCCCCAGTTCCGCCAAAAAATAAAGAGGGTGCAAAGTATTACTTTTTGTATGATATTATATTCCTTGCATGTTCCTAGAAAGCAACTGAAGATCTCAGAATGAGTAAGGAAATTTGGCATAGTTTCCAATTCCATTATAGTAAGTTTGTAGAACTTCATTGGGGCTGTAAATGTGAGCTAGAAAACAATAAAATAAACTTTTAAAACAAACATTGAAAAAATATTTTAAAAATGTAAGCTGTAGGGATGTAAAATGAAAATGTATTACATATATTGGTATATATTATGTGCATATCTATATACAAATCCAATAAATATGTATTTCCTTACTTGTAATATCCTTAAAATAATATTCATATTAATATAATCCTATTTCAAGAAAAACTAGATTTTATGAAACAAATACTAGAAAATACGATTTCAGGGGCTAGGGAGATAGCTCAGTAGAATAAGCGCTTGCCTGGCAAGCACAAGGGCCTGAGTTCAATCCCTGGTTCTGCCAAAAAAAAAAAAAAAAAGTTTTCAGTTAAAAAACATGGAATTTTATGTAACAAAAAGTTTCACAAAACCAAAGTAATTAACAGATAATGAAATTGCTGGGTGTGGTGGTGCACACCTGTAATCCCAGCACTTGGGAGGCTGAGGCAGAGTTTGAGATCACCCTGAGCTACAAAGTGAACTCAAGGCCAGCCTGAACTGCAAAGTGAGACCCTGTCTCAAAAAGACAAAAAAAAAAAAAAGAAAAAAAAAATAATGACATTGACCAAGTATCACATATTTCAACAAAATTATAGAGACATATTTAAGAATAAAAGGAAATTAGTACTTGATAAGCATTTTAAACACAAGGATGAGGAAAAAGTAGCATTTAATTGATTGTTCTGGGATAGCCAGGTATTCACTGGGGAGAACTAATAATAAAACTGAAAATTTTCCTCACAATTAGAGCACTAAATAATTCTAACCATTCATCCTGCAGAAGTTGCCATATCCTAAATGGCTTTTTAATGTAAATCTAAACTTGGGAAATCTAAAAAAAGAAAAGGAAAAATTAAGTAAATGTTCACATGCATGTATGTGGGGAAAGCATTTGTAAGTATAGCAAAAAACTAGACCCATTTAGGAATGTGATTTTTATTAACATACACATGCAAAAAAAAACCCCCAGATATATGGGTACAGTTGTTAAACAGAAAAGATAATTTTGCTTAATAAAACCCTAAAATTCTCACTAGTGACTTTTAAAACCCACAGCCCAGTTGGAGATAGGCAATTCAAAGCAAGAGATAAGTGCAAATGATAATAAGTGTAAAGACTGCCAATCCTATTATCCAAAATATTCAACTAAAAACATTACCCTTTGCCTATATCATTAGTTTTGAAAGTCTGATAGTACTATACTTTCACAAATTTGGAGTGGAAATGTGAATTAGCAAAATATATTAAAGTGATAGCTATTACATTTCTTAAGTATTCATTCTCTTATTGAAATGTATCCTGCAAAAACATGGTCCAAAGGATGAAAAGAAGGATATATATATAT